GACAACAGCGCCCCCTGCGCGCGCCGCCGCCGCCGCCCTCCACATGAGGGTCTGCGCATGCGCCGCGCGCACCACCCAGCACCGCCCCCCGGACCAATCAGCGAGCGCCGCCTGGCGCCCCGCCCTCCCCTCCGCCGCCGAAACACGAGGCTCGACCAATCAGAGCGCACGCTGCCGCCTTGGCCACGCCCAGCTCACCTGCTATTGGAGGATTGGGAAAGCCACGCCCTGTCTGGGCGCGCAGCATGGAAACGGGGAGAGTGACGTCATTGCCGCGAGCGGTGACGTCATTTGATGGTTTGGGCAGGGACAGGGACAGGGACAGGGACAGGGACAGGGACAGGGACACCTTCCCGAGCCCGGCTGGCTCTGTGTGCCCCTGGCACCCCCGCAGAGTCAATCCAAGGCGGATCTAATCCGAATTCTTGGAACGGGATTCCCAGAGAAGCTGTGGCTGCCCCTGGATCCCTGGATCCCCAGGCCACGTTGGACGGGGCTTGGAGCAAGCTGGGACACACTGGAAGGTGTCCCTGGGGATGGCAGGGGGTGGGACGAGATGATCCTTAAATTCCCTTCCAACTCAACCCATTCCACGCCAATCTTTAGCCCCGGCATTCCGAGAAAAAACAGTGGAAACGGAGCCCACGCTCTGGGATTTGACGCTTTATTCACTGTCTCTACTTGGTTATAAACACCTGGCTGTCAGAACTGTCACCACCACACTGAAGCAGTCACTCAAACACACTCTGCAAACAGCAACAGACCGAAATGCACCTCCCTGGGCTCTGCTCTCAGGAGTGCGTTTTTCCTATCTTTAAATACGGATACCTGTGGAATAATAATAAGAGACAAACTCCCGTTCTGGTTCTGTCCTCCTTCTGGAGCATCCTAGAGATCCTTCGTGTAATTGATTTGTTAATTCCCATTTTCCTGCAGGATTTGGAATCCTGCAGCTGTTAATCAACCTTTTCCCTGCTTGGCAGGCTCTGGGGGTGCCCAGCCTGGTCCTGCGAGGGGCTTTAATCAGCATTTTGTGTCAAAAGATAGAAAATAGTCTTTAAAACCTGGGTTAGGAAACAACGAGGTGGAGTTCAGGTCCTGCCAGAGACACAACACAGAGATGGAAGGACATCCAAGGACGGGATGGACTCTGGAGCTCAGCACCCTGCAAGGCTTAGCCCTCAGGATTAGAAAAAGGAGAGGGAAAAACTTCCCCTCCTGCAAAAGAATGCAAAGAAAAAGGGAGAATTTCCCTGTGCTGCAGAGTCCCATGGGATCAGCGGCTTCATTTCCCCCTGGGACACCTCTCTGGGCAGCTGCTTCCCCACAAAAGAGCAACTCGAGTTTAAAAAAGTGCAGCTCTGGTCAAGCCATGATATTTTTTCCCAATTAAAAGCCCTCTTGAACACTTTATTTCTCTGCTGTCTTTGGCTCCCAAAATCCCACTGAGCTCCAGGGTGGATCCTGACTCAGAGCTGTTTTCATTTCTGTTTGTGCTGGAGATAAACCCAAAATCCTTCTTTCCTCCCCCTGCTCTCACCTCAACCTCCTGACCCTGCTCTGTCACCCTCAGGTCCGTCACCGCTGCGTCACCTTCGGCAAAACATCCAATTTTGGGGTTTTTTTCCCCCCTTCCTGTCCCAGCTGCTCAATTCTCTGGCCCCATCCTGGTGGAATGAATCTCCACTATGAATTTATTCTCCTCCAGGTGGGATTTTTACCCTGAACACACCACTCTAAGCCCAAAATGTGGGGTGCAGGTCATGGTTGCTGCCTCAGGGCTCAAACCTGGCAGGATCCCACCAGCTCCCTGTAATTCCCACATGGAATATGGCTTTTCCTGTCCACTCACTTGCTCTGTATTAAAATCTGAAAATGCTTATCCTGTTTCCTGCCTTTAAAAAAAAAATCCTTTTCAAGAAGTTTTCCTGCTGATTTCATTAAAAAATAAAAATTAAAAAAGATACAAACTCATCGTCCTTTCTCAGGGAACTGCAGTTACGTGGCAAAATCTCACAATATTCAAGAATTGTGGAAATTCCTGTGTTAAAATCATGTAAATCCCGACCTGGAACGCTGAGGGGAGGCTGGACCAGCATTCCCAGTCCCACCAGCACCAGCAGGGATCCACAGCAAGGCTGAAGGTGGGGAACACATCCAAAAAAACACAACCCGGTTGTGCCTGGGAATGACAAGGGAAGAACTGGGCTGTTCTCTGGAGAAAATCGAACATTTGGGGTCAAAGGCTCCTAAAACCCCTCCTAAAACAGCAGCAACCCCACAGCTGGGCTGGTGACAGCGCTGGAGCTGTCACAGCTACGACAGCAAAATCCAAAACAAAAGCCAAACGTTCAGGATTATTTACAGCTGGCTGCCTTTGAGGGAAATGTGGGAGAAATCCTGACTTCTGCTCTTTGCTCCTCGTTTTTTGGGATCTTCCCAAGCTGCAGCGGCCTAAAGTGCTGTGGAGTGGGAAGAGAAAGTCACCGCCTCGTCCCCTCAGCCGGGCGGGCACAGACACAGGGACAGCGACCGGGGGGTGACAGGACACGACACGAGGATGGTCCGGAGCCCAGACCACGGGCTCGGGGCTCTCGGGACCCCCGGCAGCGGCCAAGGCTCGGCGGTGTCACCGCTCTGGACCCGCTAACTGTCACAGCTGGCACCTGGCACGGCCATCGGGGTCACAGCAGGGTGGTCACTCTGGAACACGGCCACCGGTGTCACGGCAGGATGGTCACTTTGGAACCCGGCCACCGGGGTCACAGCAGGGTGGTCGCTCTGGAACACGGTCACCGGTGTCGCGGCAGGGTGGTCAGTGTCACTCTGGAACACGGTCACCGGTGTCGCGGCAGGGTGGTCAGTGTCACTCTGGAACACGGTCACCGGTGTCACGGCAGGGTGGTCACTCTGGAACACGGCCACCGGTGTCACAGCAGGGTGGTCACTGTCACTCTGGAACACAGTCACCGGTGTCACGGCAGGGTGGTCAGTGTCACTCTGGAACACGGTCACCGGTGTCACGG